GAGCCTTTTTTTGTAAAACAGAGTGACAAGTGGTATGTTAAAATGAATAAAGTCTTGAGTCAAAATGTTCCCATCTTTCAAGTTCTTTATTTTATTTTATTCATTTATTGAGACAGGGTTTCTTTGTGTAACAGCCCTAGCTGTCCTGGAACTAGCTCTGTAGACCAGGCTGGCATGGGCCACCACCTTTCAAATTCTACCTAGTGAATTTACTTCTTAGCAAGCAAGCAAAAGTGTTGACACATCTGTCTTTATGACGGTGAAGTTCTCATAATCAGCCAAATGGATGTCCTTTATCATTGTTAAAGTTTTTTATTATTAAAAGAAGATACATATATCAGGCGGTGGTGGCACACGCCTTTAATCCCAGCACCCCAGAGGCAGAGGCAGGTAAATCTCTGTGAGTTAGAGACCAGCCTGGTCTTCAGAGTGAGTTCTAAGACAGCTAGGACTACACTGAGAAACACTGTCTTGAAAAACAAAAAACAAACAAACAAAAAAGAAGATACATACTAATGATACCATGTCAAAGAATCTACTGAGGGCTAACTGGACTCAGTGAGTTATTAAAAAAATTTTTTTTAAATATGGAGTTGGGAGGAGATGTGTTGTACATGGGGCAAGAGGAGTTGGGGGCAGATGGGTTGGATATAACCAAAAGATGTTGTATACATGTATTGAATTCTCAAAGAATAAATAAATAATACTAAAAAAAAAAAAAACGAATTCTAAAAGACTTCAAAGACTCTTGGGAATATCTAGCTTAAAAGATTTGATAGCAGGTAGAGGGAGGCAGCTTGGTGAGAGGTACATAGTGTTAGGAAAATGTAGGGCTGGAGAATTGTTTTTCTCAATTAAAAAATATTCTAAAATGACCTATGTTGCCATAGCATTGATCTGCTGTTCCGGGTTCTACTGAATGATGTTCTGAATCCCCTTGGGAGATTGTGATGACACATTACCATCCAGGATGTAGACAGTCTCGGCAAAGGCAGAGAACTGTTCTCTAGTGGAAATGATTCCCCAGCTGTCTCCTTACAGTGGTGGGAGGAAAGAAAAGTACAGTTTGATAGCCCAAGCATAGTGTCATTGGTGGGAGGAAGTGAAGTTCTGTTTCCATGGGAACAGTATAGAGTCCTCTAGTGGATTTAAAAAATAATAAGTTGAATGTGAGAACTGAGACCATCCATATCCACATGGCTTAAGCACTGGGGGTTAACCTGGTTTCACTAATTATTGCAGGGAATTCAGGTCAAGCGAGAGGGCTGGAAACTGAGGATTGCTTCGTGGATCCCTGCAAACTGTTGTCTCCTCTGTGCAAACAGCTCTCATCTAGACAGTTTCCTCAACAACAGCTAACTTACCTAGACCAGCCTGCAGGCCCTTCCCTCCCTGGGCCAGTGCTGTCTCAGACTTTGTGTAATCCTGACTTGTTTCCTACCTTAAAAGTCTACAATAAGTCCCTGAGTCTAGACCTCCAAATCCCGGGATGTCTGTCATTGACTTCCTCCTTTTGAAATTCTGAAAAGTCTATTGAAGTAGTATCCTTAAAGAACTTACCAAAAGAAAACTTCATTATTATTATTATTACTACTGCTATTATTGGTGTTACTATTGCTATTGTGTGTGTGAGTGAGCACACACTCCTGTCATCATGCACATGTAGATGTCAGAGGACAACTTCAGGGAGCCAGTTTTTTCCTTCCATTGTTGGTTCCAGGGACTGAGCTCAGCGTCAGCTTATATCCCAAGTACTTTTTATCCACTAAGCCATCTCATCATCTCAGGTGGTGGTCTTTTTTGCTCCAGTAGGTTAAATAAGCTTGGCTTTGTTTGACCTTTTTGAAGTATTCACTGGTAATAGAGTTACTGGAAGATATTTTGTGTTCTCTCTCTTTTTCTCATCTCCCTCTGTCTCTCTCTTCCTCTCTCTGTCTGTCTGTCTCTGTGTATGTGTGTTTCTTTATTTTTTTCTTTTATTGAAAATAGATTTTTTTTTTCCTCATATACTTTCTTATTTATTAGAGTTTCACTTTCCCTGTAGTCCTCCAGTTCCTTCCCACCTCCCTTCCCATCTGGGTCCACTTCATTTCTGTCTCTCATGAGAAAACAAACAGGCTTCGAAAGGATAATAATAAAATAATAAGATAAAACAAAAGGGCCAAAAGAGAGCCGGGCGTTGGTGACACATGCCTTCAATCCCAGCACTCGGAAGGCAGAGGCAGGCGAATCTCTATGAGTTCAAGGTCAGCCTGGACTATAGAATGAGTTCCAGGACAGCCATAGCCAGGGCACATACACAGAGAAATCCTGTCTCAAAAAACAAAACCAAAAACAACAGCAACAAAAAAGAGAAAATAAAAACTAATGTATCTGAATTAGACAAAACAAACCAACAAAAGGAAAAGAGCCCAAGAGAAGGCACAAGAGACAGAAACCCACTTGTTCCAACACTCAGGAATACCATACAAACACTAAACTGGAAACTATAAAATACATGCAGAGGACCTGGTGCAGACCCATGAAAGCCTTGTTCATACTGTCTCAGTGTCTGTGAGTTTATATGAGTTTTGATATGTTGATTTAGAGGGCCTTGTTTTCTTTCTCTTTTTTGTTTTTTTGAGACAGGTTTTCTCTGTAGCTGTAGGGGCTGGGATTAAAAGTGTGTGCCCTGCCTGGCTGGCTATGCATCAAAGATGATTAATCATAAGGGTAAAGGCTCTATGTAGGCATCAGTTCAATATCTCCATGTTCAATGAGTTGTGTAGGTATTATCTTCAGCAATGGTGCCTTGCCATCAGTTTGTGGAAAGCAACCTATAGTCTTGACAACAGCCTGGGTTGCTTGGGAGTTCCTATGAGACCTTTTGGAGAACAACTCAACTAGATGTAACCCATTTGGTGACAAGAGATGACTATCTGGGGCGCTGTCTTCCCGTTATTTGGTGATTTCATTTAAAACGCCTTCATAAATGCTTATATTTTAGAAAGCTTCTACTATATAGGCTACCCTTTAAATAGCCCTTAATTTTATCTGTCTCTCCATGTATTTATTCCCTTCCCTGCCCTCCTCTTTTCTCCCCCTACCCACCAGATCTAGCCCTCCATCCATCCGTTACTATCTATTCTATTTCTCTTTCCTAACAAGATCTACCTGTGTGCCCCTCACCAGTTCCTTATTCTATATCCTGAATGTTGATGAACATTTCTTTCAGAATGTTGAGCATTTCTTTAAGTGTTTCTCAGCCTTTTGACTTTCCTGTTTGGAGAATTCTGTTTGTCTGTACCCCCTTTTAAAAACTGGGTTATTTGTTTTCTTGATATCTAGCTTTTTGAGTTATTTAAACATTTTGGATATTAGCCCTCTATTGGATATGGAGTTGGTAAAAACCAACTTTTCCCATTCTAAGTCTGCACTTTGTCCAAATGATGATGTCCATTGCTGAGCAGATTTCCAGTTTCATGAGGTCAGATTCATTAAGTGATGACTTTAGCACCTGTGATAAAGTTGTTCCATTTAGAAAGTCTTTTCCTGTGCCAGTGAGTTCAAGGCTATCTACCACTCTCAGGTTCAGTATATCTGGTTTTATGTTGAGGTCTTTGATCCATTTGGAATTGAGTTTTATGCAGGATGATAAATATAGATTTATTTAAATTCTTCTACATACAGTCAAATGGTGTTTGGCAAGCACCGTTTGTTAAAGATGCTGTCTTTTTTCCCCCAGTGTATATTTCTGTCTTTTTTGGTCAGAAATCATGTATCAATAGGCATGTGGAATTATGTCTGGGTCTTCAATTCAATTCCATTGATCAATGTGTTTGTTTTGTGCTAATACAATGTTGCTTTTATTACTATAGTCTGCCGTATAAGTTGAAATTGGGATGGTGATATCTCTGGAAGTTCTTTTATTATTCAGGATTGTTTTAGCTATCCTGTGGGGTTTTATTTATTTGGTGCTGTGTTTTATGTGTGTGTGTGTGTGTGTGTGTGTGTGTGTGTGTGTGTGTGTGTGTGTGTGTGTGTTTCCAGATGAAGCTGAGAATTGAACTTTGAAGATTTGTAAAGAATTGCATTGGAATTTGGATGGGGATTGCACTGAACCTATAGATTTCTTTTGGTAGGATGGCCATTTTTTACTATACATTAATCTTATCAATCCATGAGCATGGAAGAGTTTTCCATCTTCTGATATTGCCTTCAATTTCTTTCTTTACTGTCTTAAAGTTTTTATCATACAAGTCTTTCACTTGCTTGGTTAGAGTTAGCCTAATATATTTTATATTATTTGAGGCTATTGTTAAAGATGTTATTTCCCTCTTAGTGAGTTTGTCGTTTATATATAGGAGAGGCACTTATTTTTGTGAATTAATTTTGTATTCAGCTACATTGCTGAAAGTGTTCATCTGCTGTAGGAGTTCTCTGATGAAATTTTTAGGGTCATTTATGTATACTAGCATATCATCTGCAAATAAAGATACTTAGACTTTTTTTTTTTTTGAGACAGGGTTTCTCTGTGTAGCTTTGGAGCCTATCTTGGCACTCACTCTGGAAACCAGGCTGGCCTCGAACTCACAGAGATCCGCCTGCCTCTGCCTCCCGAGTGCTGGGATTAAAGGTGTGGGCCACCAATGCCCGGCAATACTTTGACTTCATTCTTTACAATTTGGATCCTCTTTATCTCTTTCAGTTGTCTTATTGCTGTAGCTAAGACTTCAAGTACTATATTGAATAGATATGGAAAGAGTGGACAACTTTGTCTTGTTCTTAATGTTAGTGGAATTACATTGAGTTTCTCTCCATTTAAACTGGTGTTGGCTATGGGCTTGCTGTAAACTGCCTTTGTTATGTTTAGGTATGACCCTTGTATCCCTAATCTCTCCAGGACTTTTAACATGAAGGGGTGTTGGATTTTGTCAAAGGCCTTTTCTGTATCTAATGAGATGATCATGTGTTTTTTTTTTTTTTTTTTTTTTTTTTTTTTTTTTTTTTTTGTCTTTCAGTTTGTTTATATGGTGAATCACATCAATTAATTTACATGTTTTGAGTTATCCCTGTATCTTTGGGATGAAGCCTACTTGATCATGGTGAGTGATATTTTTGATGTGTTCTTAGATTCAGTTTGTAAGTATTTTATTGAGAATTTTTGCATTTTGTTCATGAGGGAAATTGGTCTGTAATTCTCTTTCTTTGTTGGGTCTTTATCTGGTTGGTGTTTCAGGGTATCTGTGGAACTTGCTCTGTAGACCAGGCTGGCCTGGAACTCAAAGTGATCTGCCTGCTTCTGCCTCCCAAGTGCTGGGATTAAAGGCATATGCCACCAGTGCTCAGCAGAGAAGGAATTTTTATTGAAAAAATTTCATACAGTAAAGAATTTCGATTGTGAATCATGTTATTAAACTCCTGTTCTCTCTTTTTTCCTTTTTATTGAAAATAGAGTTTTTCCCCTCACATAATATACCTCAATAACAGTTTTCCCTTCCTCATTTCCTCTCAATTCCTTCCCATTTCCCCTGCATCAAGTCTTCCGAAGGGATTCTCTTTTCTGGTCCTGTCTATTTGGTTTTCATATGCTTCTTTTACTTTGATAGGCATCTTCTTCTTTAGGTTAGGATATTTTCTTTATGACAGTTTGGAACTATTTTCTGTGCCTTTGATCTGTTTTTTTTCCCCCTTCCTCCCTTTCTATTATTTTTAGATTTGGTCTTTTCATAGTGTCCCAGATTTCCTGTGTGTGTGTATGTGTGTGTGTGTGTGTGTGTGTGTACATTTTAGACTTATTATTTTCTTTGACTGAGATATCCATTTCTTCTATCTTGTCTGCATGGCCTGAGGTTCTTTCTTCCATCTCTTGTATTCTCTTGGTGAGGCTTGCCTCTGGGGTTCCTCTTTGAATCCTAAATTTTTCATTTCCAGATTTCCCTTTAGTTTGGGTTCTCTTTACTGATTATATTTCCACTTTCTGGCCCTGAACTGTTTTATTCATTTCCTTCTACTTTGTGTTCATTTCTTTAAGGGATTTATTAATTTCCTCTTTAAGGACCTCTATCATAGTCATAAAGGCTGTTTTAAGGGTTTTTTTTTTTGTGCTTCAGCTTTGTTGCAATATCTAGAGTCTGTTGTGGTAGGGTTACTGAACTCTTTGGGAGATTTATTATCTATGCTGTTATAGATTGTGTTTTTAAGATGGAGTCTAGGCACCTGGGTTTGGGAAGATTGTAATTCTAGGTGCTGGTATCTGGTCTTGTCTTTGTTGGGTGGATGTTTTTTCTTTTTGTTTCTGTGTATCCTCTTTGGTTCTTAGGAGAGTGTGGTGGCTATTGGTCACCTGGCTGTGCCTTAATCTACTGCTATCCCAGCTAGCAATTGCAACTCCTCAATTACCGGCCTGCTTCTCTAGCGGTCACTTGGCTGCTTAGGCTGCTGCCTGGTGGGAATTCTGCTCCTAGGCACTGGCCCTGTCACTTTAACTAAATCTCTATCACTATAATTATGAATAAAACTCGAGATTCAAAGACTGGGGAGAAAACCTACAAGCTCAGGGAGGGTGAGTAGCAACTAGCTAACTCTCTTTTCTTGTTGGCATCCACAGAAGACCCATGCTTCCACTTGGCCAAACCACAAAAAGCTGTGCCACTCCAAACCACACTCTACTACTTCCTTCGTCTCTCTGTTTCTCCCAGATGTCCACTGGTGCTCTATGGTTACTTTCTGTCAACCAGTTGCTAACTCAGCTTCCTGACCCAAGGTTAATTTTATTTAATTGACACAAATGCAAACTCAGGGTTCACAGTGTGATCAAACATCCCCCAACAGCCTAGAGATATGTGAAAATCTGCAGTTAGCCTACCTGCTTCCCTGGCTGGAGTGAGTGGTGTGTGTGTTTCTTTTTTTTTTCTCAGGTGTGTGTGTTTCTTAAACGGGATCTTGCTATGTGTGGTGGCTAATAACGTTAATTTGGCAGGATCTAGAATCACCTAGAAGGCAAATGTATGTATGCCTATTTCTAGATTGAGGTAAGCCATGTGAGAAGACCAACCCTAAGTGTGGGGACAGCATCCCATGGCTTGAGGTCCTGAACTAAGTAAAGCAGAAAGCAAGGGGAGCACTTCTGCTTCCTGGCAGTACCTGCGTGTGTTAGTTAGCATCCAGGCACACCTTAGCATAGCAGTCACTCTATACACAGGCACAAAAGGTCCCTTAAGAGACAAGCTCTGCCTTTGATGATCCCCCATGGGAGGCCTCACCCTCCCTGGGGAGGGGATGGGGGCGTTGGTGGGGGCAGTAAGAGGATGGGAGGGAGAGGAAACTGGGATTGGTATATAAAATAAGATTTTTTTATTTAAATAAAAATAAAAAAGAGCCGGGCATTGGTGGCGCACGCCTTTAATCCCAGCACTCGGGAGGCAGAGGCAGGCGGATCTCTGTGAGTTCGAAGCCAGCCTGGTCTCCAGAGCCAGTGCCTCCAAAGCTACACAGAGAAAATCTATAGTGGGAAATTACCAATACGGACTGAGGTAGAAATACAAGGGTATTTAATAGGGAAAAGCCTTACTTACAGAGCGACCTAGCCAGCCAGCGTAGCAGTAGCCTGTACAGTAAGAAGCAAAGAGAAACTGAAAGAGGAGTCACACTACGTCACTCTGACCTCGCCCTCACAAGCGTGGTCAGGCACACCTGTAGCCAGCCCCTAAGTAGGCGTGGCTACAGCTTCCCCTACAAAACTCTGTCCTGAAAACCCCAAATAAATAAATAAATAAATAAATAAACAAATAAATAGACAAGCCCCACCCATTCCCAAGCTCCGCCTACTCCACTCTCTCTTTTTGTGGTTCTTTTGAGGAGGAAAGCAGGCCTCTGTCTGGTCTCTGTCTCTCTCCTCTTTCTTCGCTCTTTCTTCCCTTCCCCTATACCCTTCCTTTCCCCCAGTAAAACTTTCTATGTAAGTTCTGTCTGCGTGGCGTATTTATCTCTCACTCGCCATGGGATCTGCCAAGGTCCCCCTTGCACCGTGTATCATAACAGTGTGGCTAGCTGCCTCGCTTTCCCCGCCGTAAACTGTATTTCCTTGACCATGAGCCAAAATAAATCCTTCTTTCCTTAAGTTGCTTTTGGCAGATATTTGATCACAGCCATGCAAAAGTAGCTAATGTACCATATAACCGGCTGGCCTCAGACTTACTATGCAGCTTGGTACCCGGTAAACGTTCTTAGGATCTTCTTGCCTCTGCCTCTAGAAGAAGGACACTTTAGGCATCCGCCACCAAGCTTCCTTCCCAGCTTCCTGTTTGGATCACCGTTATTTCTTTGATAACTGAAGAGAAGTGAATGATAATAGCTTATAGGGAAGAGTTTGCCTCATGGGGTAGGCAGGGCATTGGTACAGCGAGGGGTGTACAGTTAAGGATGGATGTCAGGAAGACCCTGATACATAGTATCTTTTTTTTTTTAATAACCTTTTGCACAAGGAAAAGTTGAGGTTTTAAAATAACCAATCCTTTTGTGATTTGGGGGAGAGACACTAAATTTGGCTTCTGGGAGGATTATCAGCTTTCCTTGCCCTGAATTTTTTTATTCAGTCAATAACCATGGCTTGTCTGCTGCATCTTTTCTTTTGAGTCAGGGTCTTTTTGTTTGTTTGTTTGTTTTTTGTTTGTTTTTTTCCACCCTTGATCAGGGCAAGGCTCTTCCTATGGACTGGGCTGAGGCAGATCTTGCTATGTACCCGAGGCTGCCTTCAAATTCCAGATCCTCTGGCCACAGCTTCCTGAGATCTGGGATTACAGCTGCATATCTTGAAGCCTGACTTTATTTATCTTGGAAGAAGAAACATCTCATTATTTGTTGTTATTCATGAAGAAAATTCCATGTTGGTACAGGGATGTAGCTCAGAGTGTTTGCTTGGCATGCAGAAAACCCTGGGTCTGAGCCCCTGCACCATGGTATCTCATGCTTGTGATCCTAGCACTTGAGAGATACAGGGAGGAGGGTAAGGAGGCCAAAGTCCTCATCTGCCTCAAACTGAGTTTGAGGTCGATTGGGCTACATGAAACCCTGTCTCAAAAGACAAAACAAATAAAAAAGGTCCACCCACAAAAACCTCACAAAACCCCACAAACAAACAAACAAAAAGCCTCCCTACCGGAAGCTAACATGAAGAAAGAATCCAGGAAGATGTTAAGATGTGAGTGACTTAAGGAATTGGAACTTTCTTTGTTGTCAGGAGAGTTGGGACAAGGCAGTGGCCCCAGGATCCCTTTCATTTTCTGACTTTTTCCGGATTTTTTTCTCGTTTCTTTTTTCTTGTTCCAAGTTGCCCATCAGATGCTCTGCAGAAACTGGAAAATCCCCGGAGGGAGTTAAGGCTTTATGGTGTTAACAGAAATCTGAACCATGGGGAAAACAAGCTCTTTGGATGTTTTTGGAGACAGTTCTAAAACTCAACTTGTTACATAATTCTCTACAAGACCTTCATGGTTTTAGGCAGCTTTGACATGAGCTGAAAATCTGGCTGTCAGTTATGAACCATGTCAGACCTTAGACAAGCTAGTTACTCATCTCCTCATCGGTGCATTAGGTGTTGTGTCCTTAAAGAACTGTGTGCATAATAGGCTTCCTAGGGTGCCCTGCATATAAGGTATTCAGTAAACATTAACCAGTAATTATTGTTGAGAAGGCTCCTTCCTCAGGGAGGCCGTGTTTGGTTAAGTCCTGAGTCTTGGAGAAGCAACACAGTTGCTTTTATTTATTTATTTATTTATTTATTTATTTTAATCAGCTGCTACCTGGAGCCTCAAATCTAAGGAAGTGGTGAACTATGTATAAATAAATATTCCTGAATCATTAATGGAAAATTTAGCACTGGGCGAGACCTAAGGTTTGATTTTTGCCTACAGGCTAGTTGGGAAATGAGATCTACCAACAGTGATGGGCGGGGCTTGAAGGAACGTCACCCTGAAGGGACAACTCAGCACCTTCCCAGTGACAGAATGTGGTTGAATACAGGAGCCCCCTCAGAGGAGGACTCATAAAAAAAAACAGCATATGGTGAGGGAGCAGGCACTGGACAATGGTATACACACTCAAGTATCTGAAG